ATATGAGTCGTAATAATTTCAATTTCTCAAAAAGTATATAAATTCAGAAAAACCTATGGTATTTACGTATGACGAAGACTATCTGATCTGATTGAATAATAAAAGTCTGTCTTATGATGCATCGTCTATTTCTTACCTTTCTTCTTATTACATAAATTTCAATGAATCATCAACATTAAAATCGTAATAAAAAAATCATTTTTTCCTTTTATCTATTCACGTTCTTACTCCACAATTTTATTAAATAATTTAACTAATAAATATAACTAATATTAAACGCACGAGCCCGGTCACCTTTGGCAAATATCAATATCTGTTATTGAATACCAAATTCATACATATCGAGATATTATTTAAATACACATCTTTTGAATAGAATAGACATATCTACAATTACAGTGTGTCAACGCATTAAGGACTAGTGTAGTTCTATTCACTTGAGATTTGGATACTCTAGATTACTTTTAGGTTTCTTTTTTTTTTTTTTTTATTATATATATATGATTATTAATAAGATACGCTTCTCAGAAGGAAATATATACTTTTATGAAATACTTGCGATAGGAGCATCCAACAGCACAAACAATTATCTTTCATCATATTCAAGAGAATTTTAAATAAAGTAATTCTACAATGAAATGACGGACGCAAATTCCTCCAAAATGAAACTATTTCATTTATGTTCTGCATCACTTGAAATATCCGAATAGGAAATGATATTACAGCAGCTGAAAATCTTAAACAACCAAAAAATTTTGATTTTGCTGCTGTACTATTCCAAATCAAATTGATATACTAAATCGGGTTTGTGTTGAGCGATTGGCAAAAATTATAAAGCAAATAATTCGTCGATCATAACAAAAAAAAACTTATTTCTTCTCTTCCTAATTTATTAAAATTATAAATTTTGAAAGAATTTTATAAATGTCAAAACAATTTTTTTCCAATTTAAGTCGAAATTATATCGAAATATTAGATGACAATGAATATTACGATATCACAATTGAAGTTGGAAAATATCCAAATGGTAGAATATTCCGGGGGCACATGAATATTTTGTGCTACCGTTCTGTGTATTTCCAACGAACTTTGGCAAATAAAAAGAATAATGAAAAGACCTTAACAAGTATTAGATTACCAAATATTTCACCAGAAGTCTTTCAAATGATTTTGAAGTAAATTGAACAAGTATACATAACATATTACTTTCTTTTGATTAATTTAAAATATTAAATTATCCTTTCTTTAATTTAGGTATATTTATGGTGGAATTATATCATTAGATGAACGAGACATTTTAAATACTTTAAAAGTATTGCGTGCTGCTGATGAACTTCATCTTCAAGAATTGGTTGAATATTTACAAAAATATCTAATTGAAAAAAAATATATATTGATGGAACAACATTTTGAACTTGCTTATAGAACAAGCTTCCAATCTAATTCCTTTGTAGAACTTCAAAAATTATGCACAGAATTTATGGCTAAGTTACCTTATAAGGCATTCAAATCATTTGATTTTACTTCGTTTCCTGAAAAATCTTTAATTTCACTTATTAAAAGGGATGAGTTACAAATGAAAGAAGTTGAAGTTTGGAAGCATGTACTAAAATGGGGTCTTGAAAAACATCACACTCTTAACCCAGATCCCTTAACTTGGTCAGATGATGATTTCAAAATGATGGGAAATACCTTGTCAAATTGTTTACCCTTTGTTAGATTTTTCAGTTTATCTTCTGAAGAATTCGTCAAATATGTTCGCCCATATAAAAGGCTTTTGAAAAATCAACTTTATGAAGATTTATTAAATTCACATTTAGACCCTAATAGTAAACCAAGTGATGGTATTTTACTTCCTAGATTTAGAAATGTTGATGGAATCATTGATACAAGAATTGTTAACATAAAAATCGTTTCCATAATTTCGAGATGGATTGATAAGTTAGAAACTAAAAGCAACTTTGCTTATGTAAGAGAACTGTATTTACCATATAAATTTAAATTATTATTAAGAGGAAGCCGAGATGGATTTACTCCTAAGAAGTTTCATGAATTATGTGATAATGTACCTTATACAGTTACATTTATTAAAGTAAAAGGAACAGAAGAGATCCTTGGAGGGTATAATCCTTCAATATGGAAGAAATCTAATGATTTACTTGGTGAAAATGGTCAAACGAAGGATAGTTTCATATTTTCTTTTAAGAATAAGGATAATTTGAAGGATTCAATTTTAAGCCATGTGAATATTAAACATAATGCTTTATTTTATTTCTATACAAATGGTCCTACATTTAGTTGTGATCTGTGTATATGCAATCCTAATAACGAAGGAAATGTTTATAATCGTAATTTTTGCAAACCAACAGATTATGAAAAAAGGATAAGAAATACAGAAGATTTCAAAATTGAAGATTACGAAGTATTTCAAATTTTGGAAAATGTGACAATGTAATTCATATAATAATACTTTCTATTTATACTTTGAAGCCGTGGCGGCCTGTCAAGTGAATTATTTAACGAAGTTGACGAAATTGACAAATATGACAAAGTGTTCATATCTAATATATAATATTTCTATTTAGTAAAGTTACTTCTTATATTTATTATTATCTTATTTATCATTTATATTATATATATAGGTATATTTTATTATTAGAATTTTAACTTGTTTAAATATCATGTACTTTTCCTCGAGTTTAAAGGTAACTCGAGATAGGGTTTTAGGATAAAACCAAGAGTTCAATAAAGGAAAATAAATTATTCATTACCTATTACCATTTGCCATATCTTCACATAATGTTTAGTTCGAAGTATTGAATTCAAGTGAATCGTTTTTCTTTTACAGCTATCAAGCTACAAAGTCGAATTATTAGGCAGTAAGGGTCATTTTTTCTAACACTCGGGTAGTTATTTATAATTAAAAGCGGATGATTTTAGAGTATTATAGTATTTGTGAAACTGGTAAATTCTATAAATTAAATAAATTTTATAATTAATCGTTTTTCCTATGAAATTTAATAAACAAAGGTAAGCTATTAAAATCAAGTTACGGATCATATGTTCGTAACTCGATTTTAATAGCAAAACCCCCCAAATGTTGATCAAGAGTCATTACCTATTCAATGGGATCAAAGTCATTTGGCGCAACCTCTGCTCCAAATTGTGGTGACCAAATATTTTACAATGGAATTATTTTTTTGTTCTTATTTTTGAACCCTCATTTTTTCAGACCCTCTGTCAAATTCTCTAATCGAAAATTTGATTGTTTAAGAGATAATGACATGTTTGTATGAGTTTTCAAATCTAATTTGTTGAAAATTCCAACTCGTTCTTGTTTTTTGTGAATAATAATAAATAATATGTCAGCCTTCCAGAATTCTTCGAATTCATCATCAAATTTTTATTTTATAAAATTTTTTTTGTAATTTGAAAGTACTACAATTTACACAATTAATGTCATTTTCCAAAGTCTTATTAAGAATTACAAAACGGAAACTGTTTGAAAATGATTGGGCAAAATAAATGTGAGGTATTTTCCATAGAAATATCCGAATTTTAAATTTAATAACTTGCGTGTGTTGTTGGCTTGGTATCTGTAAACTAAAACAATTTACTTTAATTCAATATGTTGAATAAAAACAAGACTTTATCACAGTCACGCCTATATGAAGACACGACAAAAGGTAATAGTAAATGAATTTATAAGATTTCTTTATTGAACTCTTGGTTTTATCCTAAAACCCTATCTCGAGTTACTTTTCAACTCAAGGAAAAATACAAGATATTTATACAAAATAAAATACTATAAAATATAATATAACAAATATAATATAAACGATAAATATAATAAATAAGATAAATAGAATAACTCTATTAATTAAGATATAACTAACAATTTTAGCTAATCTATCTAATGGATCAACGATGATATATTAGTCTAATTTATCCACTTCGTCAAATTTGTTAACATTTTCAATCACGTGACTGGTTGGTCGCAGTCACATATCACGGCTTCAGCGTATTATTAATGCTTAAGTAATACGCGAAACTTTAACGAATTCTTGGTAAATTTAAGAAATATAAAATACCTCGTTTTCTTCAAAGCCCTAAATAAAATTTTTTTCTAGTTGAAAGGTTTTATTTATTATTTTCGAAGTATTACTGGATTTTTTTTTTTTTTTTTTTAACAAAAAAAAAGCAAGCTATTTTATGAAAGAAACATTTTGAATACTTTCGTGAAATTTATTATAAGACAAATTAACTATGTAGCTTAATATGAAAAAAATCTACAATAGTAAAATTTTATATTCATACATAGTTTTGATTAATTTAGTTGACAGCGCACCCAACGCAGTTGCAAGTCTCGACTTCAACGAATTTTAATGTTTATGCTAAAAAATAAACAAAACAATGACAGATATGGATCAAGAAATAGGCAAACTCATGCTTTTATGAAAATCATAATCTCAAAATTAATCATAATTTTCCATTTTCTTTATCATTTTACTGAATCCCATAGCAAAATATATCATATTTGCAATGAAAGAATCCTTTCGTGGCGTGAATTAATAATTTATCGATAACGAAATTGACTTAGAGTTTGTTTGAAAGAATTTGGACATGATTGATCTTTTATTATATTTCTCGTATATATATTCCTTTCAAAATATAAAGTAACCGAAAAAAAGTCAAACGAAAGTAAAGAATTAAGAAAAAGGAATTCAACTGATTTATTCTTAATATATTCTAGGTGTAGATTGATTTGTTTAGAGGCTTGCATTTTCATTTGCTTAATGGTTTGCATCGGCTTGCAACATTTGATCGAAGCACGGCATGTTATAATCACTACATCACAAATAATTTATAACCAAAACCCACCCGAATCATCCTCTAAATAAAGCAATTAACTTAAGTATTCAAAAAAAAAAATAAAAATAAATTATGCAATTCTTCTTCGTGTTTAAATTAATTAAAAGCAATAAAACATGTTACATTTGTTACATTGCATTACAAGCCTTAACTTTCATAATGAACTTCGAAATTTCTAAACCAACATTTACGAACGTAATTGTTATAACAGATGGTAATATATAAACTCCTAATAGCACTGCCAGTAATATGCCTATAATTGTTGGTAAAAGAATAATAATATCATTGACTTTATTGTGAATTAATCCATCTCGTTCTAACTTTATTCCCATAATTGAAAATTTAATTGCATAATAAACACCATGTAAAATTACAACAAAATATTTGGTTGATTCATCACTTTTAAAGTATAGCGCATTTATGTGAGCAATAACACCAACTGTTATAGAATAAACAATAACAGAGATTAATTCCCACGCGATTTCCTATAAGGAAATAAATATCGACGAATAAACTAGTCAGTGTAAATTTTAGTGAATGATATACATATATACCTTGACAAATTAGTATTCTAAGTAAACTTACTGATTTTTTACGTTCTTCCAGAATGCATTCTAAAAGCCAAACTTTGTCTGAAGTAGCATTATATCTTCTTTCTGCAGTGGGTTTAAATTGTCGAGAACTTTTTGTAGTTCTGGAGAAAGTTGATCTGATATGAAAGTAATGGTCGTTAATAAACATAAAAGAGTTTCTACGTGCACTAAAATCTTACTCACCGACGTTACCGTTACCAACGTTTTCTACGTTACCGACGTTAGACATACTTGAAGTTTTCGTTTTTTAGAAGGTATGATTTATTTATCTTTTATTCTTTTCTACGAGATTTTAAATTTTATAATTTATGGAGCGAGGGTAGAAATTTATATGGTGTACTTCAAGACTAAGTAAACTATATATTATATTTAGTGACCAAGTAAACTATATACTATATATAATGTCCAACCAAGAAAATAATGACAGAGATAATTTTTATGTCAGTTGATTAAATGACGCGTTGCAGAATGCATGACACGTGATTATAAAATGTGATATTTGGCTATTTTTAGAATCAAGAAAATATTGATTTAGTTTTAAATTTAAATCTGAAAAAAAAGTATCATCTTTGACTTCGTCAACGCACCAAGTATAAATCAAAAGCTCGGATTTCTTTAATAATAAATATTTCATTTTAAAGGGACAATTTTAATCAAAATTTTCTTTCTCCTTTTATGTTTACTCTTTGCTTATATTATCCAGTCATTTTTATCAAAAGACGTTAATTACAATATTAAATGAATTCAAAAGCTAAATGTTTTATCGCCTGTGCTTTTGTGAAATTTACGAAATTAAATCTTTTCTCCAACGAAACGATCAATAAATGAACTATCATTAAAGATCCCGTCCCGAATTAGGTTGATGAAAAAAATTTTTTTTTCAACATTATCGAAAATTTATTAGGTTTAAATGCGGCAACGTCGTAAAATTCACGATAACTTCACAGTATATCTTTTTCCACCTTGTATACAAGGGTTGGGAATTTTGATTAGCTAAAGCGTGTTAGTGATATGATCTCCCCCAATAGCACTTAAATAATAAATAACTATACAATAAAAGATAAGTATTGGCGTAATATGTGGTGCCGCCTTCTTGAAACTCGAAAAAAATTACCAAATAACGATGTTACCCGGAGAATATTTAGCATCTTTTGGTAATGGTGCAACCCGTACATAGTGGTAGCTACATCAATCTTTTGACCATTGCACAAGAACTTTATCAATATTAATCCAAGCCCTTTACAACAAACTTTATATCACGTCTTTGTACTTAACAGATTTTTGGTAGATCCTTACAGAACAATCTGAAGAAGAAAATTGCAGCCTAGATATGTTATCTAAAGTTGAAAAACAAATGATTAAATCATGTAAAAGAAATTTTTTTTAAAAAAATTATTATATTTTTATATTTTTTAAAGAGTGAGTTTAAAAAAATTGTAAGTACAACATCTCTAAAAAATTGAAAATTTTATTTAATTAGGATAGAATATGTCAACATTTTAATAATTCAATTGTAGGAAGGTAACCAACAAGATTTAACAGTTCGTATGGTCATTTTATTTTCACAAAATTGGTTCACTTTATTTGAAATATATATAATAATAATTATTATTAATTCTGATACTACACAAATTATCGTTTAAGGTTATTTCTTAAATAAGATTCTTCATTTAAATAATTACACAACTAAATCATTCCAAGAAACCATTAGTTTTTAACCAATCCTCAACATCTCTTGAATCACGCTTCAGCCAAGCCGCATTAACACGAATCTTTTCTATGCTTTGTTGCAAAGGTCTTTCAAATCCTTTACAATCCCTGTTAGAGAAGAAGTTCTCGATATCCACAATGATATCTTCAGATGAGAATAATTCAATACTTGACTTAATAATTTTTCCAAAAAGCGCACGAAAGTTGATAAACCGTTTATGAATCTAAAACATGTATTTTTAGTATAAATTTTAAACAAGCTTTCTTCAACCAAATAAAATTTCCATTCATACCACATCCCAATTGTCTTTAACAAAGTTCCATAATTGTCTTCGTGATTTACGATTTGATTGCAAACTACAAAATAAATCAAATTAAAACACGAGCAAATGTCATAACATTTAACGTGTATTATAAAAATTTACTTACCTAGCAAATGCGTGAAACACATCTTGACTTTTGACTTCTTCACTAATTGCAAATTGTAAAGCACGTTGAATCAAGTCATCACGCTGGGCAAAACAAAGACCAGACAACGCTTCTAATTTTTGATCTGCTGTTTTGGAATCACGATAAATTTTCAATATAGCTTCAAATTCTTCGTCTCCGCCACCGTGGGATAAAACAATTCGAAATACAACACCACGAATGTTAGGATGCAAAGCAGATTCATCATTTTGTTTTGTGAAAAGATTAAATCTGCGATAAGCTTCCTTAACAGTACTACCAGATAAAAATTAAATTAATCAAAGAATAAATAAATGTCATGAGATAAACATTAACGTACTCTGGATCATTAGCTCTGCCGGCTATATTAATAACTAGTGTCCTTAATAATGTGGTCAAATAATCATCACTTTTAGGATATTCCCAACCTAATTTGGAAACCAATCTAGATGCTAATTGACGGTTGAACGCTAGAAGTCCTTGATAAATTGTTGTGGGTTGTTCAAACCAAACATCAAGCACATTTTTGAGACGAATACTGATTTCACTCCATACACTATTAGAAAAGATAATGAAATTTAGCACATTAAATAAAATTGTATTAGCACACAAATAATTGTTAGCTTACACATATTTATCTTCTCCTTCAAATTCTTTAATGAAGCTCAAAAAGTCACTAGTTTTCTCATAACCACTAGTTGCTAAAGCACCAGCATCAGCAATTGCTCCAATACGATCACTAACATCAAGCAATCCTAACTTAACTGCCTGTCCTAACTTGAATAACCGTTCAGGGGTGTAATTGACACGGAAAACGCCAGTCTTGCGTGCGTTGAGTTGATAAAAATCTGATTTTCTAGGTGGCAATTTCAATGTGATTTTCTTTTGATTGAGAATAGAGGACTTAATTTCACTTTGAGTATCAGGGCCAAGGTCAACGCCAAGAGGTACCCACCAATTGACAGTATCTTCATCAGGTCTAATTACTCCAGATAAAAGGAACCGAAACTGAGAGATTTCCAAGGTATCGGGTGTTGGTTCTTTAACAATTAATACTGGATACTATGATAAAATTTATATAAATTAAATTGCGATATCTTAAAAGTGTCTGTATTTAATCATTTCATTTATACTCACTCCCACCATCCTTGTCCATCCTGTCATGAACTGACAAACATCGTTGCCACTCTCTATGGATAACGCTTTCCATAAATCATCTGTACTCGCGTTTCCGAATGCATGTAGCTTTAAATATCTTTTAATGCCGGATAAAAAAACTTTCTCTCCAAGGTAAGTGCTTAGCATGCGAATTACAGAAGCACCCTTTTGATAACTAATATCATCAAAAACCTGAGAAATTTCACTGAATATGTGAAATTCAAAGTAGGCAAATATGACAAGCATCGTTAGTGTAAGCAAAACAAATCAATGAAAATATTTAAGGTTATAAATTACCTGGAATTATTTACAGGAACTTCAATAGGATGAGAAGATCTTAAAGAATCAAGTTGAAGAGCGCTCTGAAATCCTTGAGTGACAAATCTAATTAAAATTTCCATATGAATAGATTTATATTACAACTTAGAAGATACTACATATATAAAACTTACTGAGTCCAAACATTCCAGTCAGGAAAGAGTCTATCAACTGCAAAATATCCAACCCACGTGGCGAAACCTTCTTTGAGCCAAAGATGTTCCCACCTATAGAAAATTGACGATTAATTTTGAGAAATTATCTAAAAATCGAAAACTAATGAAATAAATAATAATGAAGTTACCATTCCATGGTTACGAGGTTACCAAACCACTAGAAACAACGTCAATCATTATAAATCAACCAATATTTACTACGGAAAGAATTTTAAATACCTGATGTGCAATTTCATGTGATATAATATACGCAATATCTTGCTTAATTTTGACATTAGACGATCTAGGATCGAAAAGGACACGGGCAGTACGAAACGTAATCAAACCCCAGTTCTCCATTGCACCTGATTGTATTGTTAGTAAATTATCAATTCTCATAAATTCAACTAAGGATGATTATATCTTACCAAATCCAAAGTCCGGAATTGCAATCAAGTCACATTTAGGCAAAGGATATGGAATTTCAAATACTAAAAACAATTATAAATGCTATAATACCAGCGATAAATATCGTTGAATAAATATATGGTAAGCCTCTTCAAACCTTTTACAAAATATTCCAAGACTTGTGTTGCTACGCCTAGAGCAAATTCACCATGCTGTTCATTGCCCTTAGGTGCATACACTCTGACCAATATAGGCTCGCCATCATCACGACCCCCAGTTGTATAGTCTTCAATATACCCAAAGTCACCGGCAATGAAAGCAACCAACTATTAAGTAACATATTATAAGTAATCTCCGAATTCTATAATAGAAGTTATAATATTAAAATGAACCACACGTAGGTACTCATTATCGGCGTTCTGTTAAACTTGACTTCTTTTTTATCATCACCAAGTTGAGTCTCGCTGATTACATTCATGTTACTTAAAGCAGTCATATCAGAGGGTACAATTAAAGTGATATCAAATGTAGCTTTAATTGCGGGTTCATCCCATGAGGGGAACGCTCGACGAGCTTCGGTTGGTGAAAATTGAGTTGTTACCAGATATCTTTAAGTTAAAAGAATAAGTATTCATGACGCACTTTGAAGTAATTATCAAATTTGCAAGCGAGTGATGAAACGCACTTAGTATTTCCGCTTTTATCTTCAAATGAACTTCTATAGAATCCGACCAATTTATCATTCAAAATGCCAGTGTATTCAATATGAAGGGAAGCAGCAGTTCCAGAAGAAAACTCGTGTGGAAAGGTTAAAGAAACTGTTTCTTTTTGAATGTCATAATCGATATTCGTCGCTTCATAACTAGTCGTTCAATCAAAAATTGTTAATATAAAAATTAATTGTTATGAAGTTGATAAAAATTACCCTTGACTGGCTTTTAAATCCAAATTGATAAGCTTGGCAGATTTTACTTCAATTTCGTTAACGTGAAGAGTTATAACTTTTGTATTTTCGATGATTTTAATACTATAATAATCAACGAAAAATATTAATCGGATAGACTCATAAAATAGCACGTGATCGACTCGACTCATAATTTACTTGACAATTTCGGATCCAATAAAAGTGAAATTGACCATGTCTGGTGTCAAAGTCAAAGTGTAATGTGTCGGTCTTACATTAGTTGGTAACACTTGTCGTTTATCCTGTTTTGACATTTTAAATTGATAATTTGCAGAAAAAGAATAAACTAGGATGATTATCTGAATTTTTTGTCGTAAGCTAAGACCTTATATTTTATGTAAGTCAGTTCTGTAACGTTCACACAGTAAAATGGCAAAAATGTGAGATCAAAAAAAAAAATCTTTTTTTATGTTCAGTAATGTCACACGTTACACAAAATTTTAAAAAAATTAGAGTTTGAGGCGCAGAAAGCAGACAATTGAACAATAATACATAAAGGATTGCTGTACTTCAATTTCTTTCGAATTGAACCCATTCAACAAAATAATCTGGTAAGAATGTATATAAGAATAGTTCATAAATATTTCAAATAATTAGAGAATATTAACTTTATTTTAAAAACATTTTGATGAAGCAATGAATATATTTTCACGATTAAAGCAAGCTTAGTTGTGATAAAATCCTCAATTCTTGGGTCGGAACGGACACGGATCAATAATCTAGTGACTCAACCCAGAGACCCGGAAAAATTCCGATATCAAATCGTAAATTTTTATCACGATAACAGCAAAAATTCCGATTTTATTCCG